AATGGCTAAAATTAAAATAAATCAACAACTGATGCTACCGAGTGCTGGCGAGGATATGGAGCAACTGGAACACTCCTTCATTGCTGATGAAATGAAGGGAATGTAAAATGGTACAGCCACTCTGGAAAATAATTTCACACTTTCTTATAGAGTTAAATATATATTTACCTTATGATCCCACAATTCCACACCTGGGTATTTACCCAAGAGAAATGAAAACACATGTCCACACAAATTATTCTAGCAGCTTTATTTGTAATTGCCCCAAGCCGGAAAGAATCCAAGTGTGGGTGAATAAGCGGTGGTACATCCATACAACAGAATACTACTCAGCAATAAAAATGAACTAACTGCTGATGTACCCAATAACTTGGATGGATCTCAAGGGTATTATGCTATAATATTTAAAGAGTCTAAATTATAAATATAGCTATTTCTATACAAAAAGGTTTTTAGAGAAATTTTCACTATAAACAGTGATATCAAGCCATAATGTAGGCTGAAAGGGTTAAGGAATTCTTTTAAATTAAATAAAGTTATGAAGGAAGGAATAACCCATTTCATTATATTAATTCAGCTCCATAGCAGGAGCTGCCATGGGAGCATTGGTCCAGGGTTTCCAGAATCTGTGGCTCCCCTGCACTTCTGAGCTTGGCTTCAGTGACCACCTTATATGCTTGTGCCCACTGCTGACCCCACCCCTGCTCAATTTCAGGTACCCACCTATTTTTTAAAAATAAATTTATTTATTTATTTATTTTTGGCTGCATTGGGTCTTTGTTGCTGCACGTGGGCTTTGTCTAGTTGTGGCGAGTGGGGGCTACTCTTCGTTGTGGGGCGCGGGCTTCTCACTGCAGTGGCTTCTCTTGTTGCGGAGCACGGGCTCTAGGTGCGCAGGCTCAGTAGTTGTGGCACGTAGGCTCAGTAGTTGTGGCACATGGGCTTAGCTGCACCACGGCACGTGGGATCTTCCCAGACCAGGGCTCGGACCCATGTCCCCTGCATTGGCAGGCAGATTCTTAACCACTGTGCTAGCAGGAAAGTCCTACCCACCTATTTTTGAAAGGCTTTAGTAGTTGCAAAGTAGTCCCTTCACCAGCATAGCCCTGGGGAGTCAGGAATTCCACAGATAACCCATCCTTGCGCCCTGGAGCACAGCAATGTCCATAGTCTTCCCCAGAAATCTAGGACATCCCAGGCTCCCTGAGACTCTGCAGCTATATTCATCTCTTTTCTCAAGGATGCTCGGGGCCCAAGCATCAAAAGCACATTAAATAAAAATGATGACTCACCAACCAAATGTTTAGGCCTTTGAATGATTTACCCTTTCGCACAAAAGGTTATGCAACTCATGCCCAGAGCACCCCAGAGCTCCCCAAAGCAGATGGCCAAGGAGAGTCATGTGCCATCAGAGACTGTCAAAGGGCAAACGTTTCAAAATTATGCCTCTTCCACCAAAGACAGCACTTCTGCTCAAGCTCACCCTTTGCCCAGTACCCAACCATAAAGAGTCTGTTTGTTGAATCAGCCTAAAGGGTGAACATGACATCGTTTATCTGTTTATGTAGCAGGTTCTTCTACCCAAAGGATCTCACCAGTTTTCTTGATTTTCCAAATCGTCACTTTTCCACGATCTGTGCCAATGGAATGCAGTAGTACCATAGACCCAGTTCCCTCATCATGGATATTTGGTTTAGGAAGGAACCTCAATACTCATTTGTAGGAACTGACTGTACTCGGCATCAAAGGAATCTGGTCACCAGAGAAGGAAGCACTTACTGGGGGCTGGGAAACGTTCCTCTCCTGCTCCCAGCTGCACTCTCCCCAGCACCATTTGATTATGAACAATGTTCCTGTGGTGGAGATGGCAAAAGGGCCCCATTCTCCCCTCCTTGTATCTACCACTCTCTGTGTCATCCTGCAACTCTGTGTCCTCACCCCTTCAATCTGGCTACCCTGTGTCTTACTTTAGCCAAGAGAATGTGGCAGAAATGACAGCACACCAGTTCAAGCCTAGGTCTCAAAAAGCCTGATATGGTTTTGTTTGCTCTCATAACCCAGGCACCACCACGAGAAGAAGGCCAGGGCAGCCTGCTGGGAGGATGAGGGACCGCGTGGACAGGGTTCAGTCCAGCCAGCCTTCCCCGAGCCAGTCAACCTGCAGACTGCACGCAGGTCAGCAAGCCCAGCTGGGCTCCTCCAGGCCTAATGAACCAACCAAGCTGAGCCAACCCACAGGGCTGGGAGCTAAATCAATGGTGGTTGTTTTAAACCACTAAGTTTTGGGGTAGCTTGTTACACAGCAAGAGCCCTCTTTTCCTTTGCCATAGGAAGGTTCCAATACCTCACATTCAAACTACTCTTTGGGCTTGCAGGCAGAGAGAAAAAATTAATTCTTCCTACTTCTGATAGCTGAATTAGGTGTGGGTAGAAAACACTAGACTCCATTTCCATTTCAACTCTTTCACTGCCTAACCAACCTACATTTTAAAGAATTTTACTTATGAGATCAATGGAAGATATATTATTAAAAAAAGGCACTTTCTGTCCCAGCTTTTGTTGAGGTTTCCACCAGTGATACCACAGTACATCATAGAGATCATAAAGAAGTCAGATCATTATTTCACAAAAAGCTTTGTTTAAACAAGCCGTGAAAAAAATTTTTTATCATCAAATATAAGTTTAATAATCTCTTTATCACATTCCCCAGGTTTTAATTATTGTCTTCATTTCATTCTGTTTACATTTGTCACATACATCTCTATAATACACAGATACAGACCTATATTTGCTATATACTTCCTATCATTTAATTGTCTTTGGATCAATATAGAATTAGTAGGGATCAGCATGGGAAAGAATACTACCTTTTTCTGAAAGTAGATTCTTATGTATTTATTTAGCACCTTTTATTTAAGGATCTCAAGATACTTTAACATTCACTGTAGCATCCTTATGTTATCTCTAGTTTGGGAAAATGTCAAAAATTAGTGCCTTTTTATAGGAAAGAAAAGAAAAGTATCAGTGAGATGATGATAGTCACAGTAGAAACTTGGGTCTTTAGCTCAGCCTTCTCCTTTGTGAACTATACTTTGTTTAATATGTCAAAAGGTTTAATGGTTTCTTCCATTTTTATAACATCTCTCTTTGGATGGATGTGAACTAAAAGGGCAGCACAGACAGTAAATTCCCACCAACGGATCATCCTGGCAACACAGTTATTTCCTGCAGTTTTTCATGTCAGCTAAGAAGCCCCATAAATTATAGAACCACCTCTGCTTCTCCATTAAAAGTCATAATTGATGGCTACTATTCTAGCATTTCCAAGAGACCTGCAACCGACAGGGAGAAACCAGTGATCAACGATCATTCCCTTCAGCTGGGCATTTGTGGCCATTAAAGTCTGGACAGTGACCGCTATCACCACTCTTAAAACCAACCAGACCTGCAAAATTAATTTTAATGTGCTTAGATATTTTAACTTTAGTATTTGAGGAGAACAAATGCTCACTGGTCACAACAGATGAAACATCCTAGGTAATTCCTTTCACTCTGACTCACATTGTATATTTCCTCACAAGAGCACTGATGCTAAGAGAAAAGCACCTCTATGATAAGTTTTCTTAAGCTCACAATATAAGGATTTGGGTTTTTAATGTAAACGCATGGAAAATAATAAGAATGTTTTCCACTTCTACAAGGCTAAATTACAGATACACGATTTTTTAGGAAGAAAATGGTACCTACTGCCTAAACACATTTATGCTATTCTTGTTTAAAAAGAGAACAAACGCACAACTTTATTCTTCCTTTCTTGAACTTTCCTGGCACCTTCCTTTCACCGTGTGTGCAGGCCATCCCATGTCCTACTCATTTTCCACACCTTTTCCAGGGACACATCAAGAATAAGAATGCCAAGTGCAGCAACTTGGATTTTTGAGATTTAGTTCCCCAGGTACCTGGCTGCCTCTGCCGGGAAGGGTACTACATTCACCCGGGGGGAATGAACCATTCTGAGATGGGGTAAAGGAGGCAGACACGAATTGCAACTTAGTGCTGCCTAGAAATTGACACAAACTTAAAAAACATTCAGGGTGAAAATGGGGTTTCTCCTTTTCCTTTCTTTAGAAAACTGAGAACTCAGAAAAGTTTTCGAACGCTAAAAGTCCCTCCTCTTGTTCTCTGAGCCTCCCCCCAGGCTTCACATTTCTAGCCTTCTTCCAAAAGTGCTTAGTACAGACTCCTCACCTCTTTCCGCCCCCGCCATTACCAAAACACAGTCATCTACTTATGAGAAGGGACCAAAAGAAAACATATAAAGAAGACCATCACCCTTAGGAGACTTTTCAAGAAAATCGTTAAATAGTAAGAAAAAAAAGGGCGGACAGTATCAAGAGAAACGTTATGAGGGACAGTGAAATACAAACATCAAACATGGAGGACGGGGTGGGGGAAGGGATACAGACCCAAATAGAACAGGACGGCCATAAAAACAGATGTCGTAAAGAGACAAACTACTGATGAACTAATAACGGGAGGTGGAAGTGGAAGAAGAAAAACTATAGAAGGAGGTAAAAAGTGGAGTAACAGAAGAGAGCAACGTGTACCTGTGCAATTAGTAGACACGTGACCGTGGATGGCAGTGAGTAGTAATAACAAATGTACTTTTGTTTGCTTGTTTGTTTTTAAAGTCCCCGATTCCATTTAGAACAAGATGGATAAAGAACGTCCGGTCATTTGACGCAGGTGTACCGAACGGAGGGGCTCAAAGGCACACCTCTGGGGCCACGGCCCCGCCCCACCCCAGGTCCCGCCCTCAGCCCCGCCCAGGCGCGGGTGCGCGGCGGCGTCGTCAGCTGGGGACGCGACTCCCGATGTGCGCGGCGCGGAGGGCGGGCTGGAAGGCCCGCAGCTCCGCGCCAGCCCGGCTGCAACCGTAGCGGGTTCTCGGCTGCTCAGCGCCGCGTCTCGGGCGCGCCGGCCTCGGCCTCCCCCGCTGCTCAGCGCCGCGTCTCGGGCGCGCCGGCCTCGGCCTCCCCCTGCTCCTGCACCGGCCGCGAGGCCTTGTCGGGCCCGGGGGCGCCTCGCTCCTGCAGCCCCGGGCCCACCTCGAGGCCGGCGCACGTGTTCGGGAAGCGCGGCCCGAGGCCGGCGAACGAGTCGCAGCACGGCGGGCTCTCCTCCTGCACCGGGCGGCCCACCGGCTCCCCCGCGCCGCCGCCCGGCCCCGCCGGCCCCTCCTGCGAGTTCTGACTGACGTAGACCACGATGATGTCGCCCTTGAAATTCATCACCTGCCCGCTGGAAATAAACGTGGAGTTACTGTTTCCAGTCACATTTCCTACAAGGGGAGAGGAAGAGAGAATACGCAGAGGGTGAGTCATCAGTTCTGGGCGAGAACTTGGTCTTGTGAGAGGAAAGTTTCCCAATGCATGGAGGGGCGCTGGCGCCCCGGCCCTCTCACGGGCGGCCCTTCCTCACCCACCCGTTCCCTAAAATGCATGGGGCACTCCCCGTGGTTCCTTCCTTTGCCGTCTCACCGGGCCTGACTGAGGTGGAGGAAGGAAAAAGGGAGGGAGAGAGAGAGAAGACGAGGGAAGAGAAGCAAGACAGTCGGCCATCCTGAAGTTTTGTCGTTGGCCACATTGACCTCGGGGGACACTGGCATGAGAGCCCGCCCGCATCGCAGAATCACAGACGGGATTCAGATGTTGCAAAAGGGTGTGCGCATGTGATGGATAACGCAGCAAACACAGCCAATGGTTCAGCAATGGTCAAATGCATCAGGAAGGGAAGCAAAGGCTGGAGCGAAGGTTGCTGCCTGTTAGGACCCTGGAGCCCACCGCAGCCCAGCCTCCTCTCTGACCAGACTCTCACATCTTTTCACCCTCCCTGGAGAGGTCCCTAAGCTCAGCCCTGGAGGGCCCTGGGGCCCCCTGGGCTCAGTATTTAGCAGAAATTAATTTCCTTACATTTTTTCAAACTCCTAGAAAAAAGAGAGATTCACAAGACTAAAATGGAGAAAAGCCAACCAACCAAACAAAAACAATCTTACAAATCACTCTTT